CGCGCGCGCGCGCGCGATGTGTGTGTGTGTGTGTGTGTGTGTGTGTGTGTGTGTGTGTGTGTGTGTGTGTGTGTGTAAAACACGGTTTTTAGAAATACTCAATAAAGAACAATTTATATCTAATTTAATTATATTTTAATTTAATTTGTTAATTATTAAATTTACTTGAAATTTATCAAAACTTATCATAATTTTATCAAAATTTATTGTCTTTCAAAATAACTGATGTGCTAACGCAAATATGAAACTAAGGAGACAAGTAGTTAACTATTGCGTAATTGAGTATAATGTTGAGTCTCGAACTTTTATCGATGAAAACTTTGCCTTATCTCCGAGAATCGGATCAAATTGTACTTATTACTTATTGTTAATACGATTACACAAAAGGATTTCTTTGCGTGGGATTTGTATTCCCTGAGCAGCGACCTAAGAAACATTCAGTTCTCTTTAATGGTAAATTGAAAACTGTTTAATAATGAATAAATAATCGAGCTCTTTAGGCATATCTTCTGTATTAGATATATTCTATTTCATTGGACATGATTGAATTTCGACGACAGAGATTTAAATTTCTGGAAAATAATATTCTTCGAACGTCTAGATCTTTGACATTTTCGCGGCATATTTGGAATTTGCAACGAGTGAGAGATCAAAGATACTTTGTCCACTCAAACTTCAAACAATCGTAACAGTTAGGATTCAACTACAGATTTCTCGTGAAGATGCATTTATCTTAAAAGAGAGATGGTTATTAAGCTCAGATAAGTGCCTCTTAAACGGCAATCTGTGCGAATTTAACTTATGAGAATTGAAACACACTCGTTCTAATTGTTTTCTCTCTTTTTGAATATTATCTTTGTTAGATTTCAATTTTATTTTGTTTTGTCATTTCTTTTTTTATATCAAGTATATCGTTAAAACCGATACACTTAATGTAACGTTCATATTTCACTAGAATTTAAAATCATTGAAATTGCATTGATTTTGATTTCGATTTCTCTTTGTACATTTCATTTCATTTGTCCAGACTTAAATAATAGTATTTTCGCTTTTCAAAAATTAACTTTCTTATAGGTAATTTATATTTAAATTAATATTAACAATAGTTTTTAATATAAACAATAGTTATTATATGTAATTTGTATGCACATTTTTGCTGAATATTCTTGGATTTGAAACAGAATAATCAAAGAATGTTCATGAATTGATTGAAATATCTCTATATTAAATTCCCTTTACTTTCTTAGATTTCCTATGACTGGTATATAAAAGCTATATGCGATAACGACTGATTTCTGGGCGTGTTTCCGTTCTGTGTTTCTTCGTTCTCTTGTCTCATGCATGCCGTAGGTTTTATCTTAATAACAGCAAACGTATTATCATCAAATCTCAAAACAAGAAACACGTATTCTATCTAATGCTAATCATAAAAAATATTAATCATGAGTATATATTAATTATGTATGTTACGAATAAATTGTAAATTTTTAATAAAATATAATATTTATAACATTTAAAGCAATTATTTTATATCAGGATTCTCAATTACAATCTTTGGAAAATTATGAAATTTATTAAATTTTATTCCTTAGTTAAATCTAACCTTAAAAAGCGATTTGAAATAAAATAAAAATAATCGAGATATTTTAATATCTGTTAATGTTATATAAAATTGACTAAAAAGCAAGATAAATGATAAATGATAAACACCAACAATCTCTCACATGAATTGACACGCATTTAACGTAATATAGATGAAAGTAATTAAACCGAGAATTTATGCAATTTTCCATCACAAAATTCAGATAAACCTAATGTATATTTAAAAAAAAAAGATATATCTTGTTGTAGAATCTCTATCGCGTGTCTTATTGCAAGGCAGAGTGACTTCCGTGGTAGTTTCCTTTATTAAGAGCTTCTCGTGAAAGTTTTAT